ATAACAAATGTTCACGATTGACTTCCACGGTGAAGGAGTAACATCGTGTAGTAAAAATAAAACCCGCAATATTTTAATTTGCGTAACTACTGGTGGTAGGATGTCTTGTGAGTCGGTAGGGGTGGGTACCACCGTTCTGCCACAAATTACGACTGACTCGGTGGAGTAGAAGTTAACGCCTGTGATTGCCCGCATAACGGCCATGGGCTCGATTCCCATTCCAGAAAATATTCGCGTGACATATATACGTTTACTGGAACGTATAATTCCCGAAAAAATCCTCCAGATTACAAGGTCGCGATGAACAATCACATGCCAAAAATCTATATTGACATACATTTGAATAGTTGATTTAACAACAACACACGATTTAGACACAACACTTTGGAACGATTTGGAAATAACTACCGGCTAATTTAATGAAATTATTATCAAATCTTCGGGTGCGTTCTACGAAATATTAAAAAAAAAAACAATTTTTAAAATAACCAAGGAACAGCAAAATCAATTTTCCCATTAAACCTTTGTTTGTTTTGTAAGGCGGACTGCCGGTTTTGTTTGAATTCCATTAAAATTTGATCCGGATTGATGCTTTGGTACAAAACATTCTACGAGCTCTCGGACTATCTGGTATTAAGAGCTTACCGGCTACCAGAGAAAAGGTATACCAATATAAATGCCATATGGGAACTCGAGATTCAAAACTCGAATGTCTTTAACATACTGCTTTGCGGAAAAAATACAAGTTGTTGATTTAGTTGGCACTAGATTTGTTGTTGGCGCTTCAGAAACGTTTTTTTTGTTTTTACTTTTATGCTATGATAGTTGGCGTAAGAATTTGATATGCAGTTTCCACACCTACGTTATAATGATGTAGTGAAATTATAATATTTTTCATAATAAAAATATATATTCCAAAGTCATGTTCAATTCCTAAAGTTATTGCAATCGAAGCATTTATAACTGCGCATTGATTCTCAATTATATTTCAATCTCGTCTTTACACAAGGGAGCCGATGTTCGATATAACTAAAGACTAATTTCTTCGCGTGCTTTATTAATATTCCTCTCTTTTTTTCTCGTCTGGATTCGTAAATCGAATGTCGATGAAAATAATGTCTTCAAGGTGTTTCCGTTTTCAGTGAAATAGGTTTCGACAATGGGGTTGTGTTGTGATGTGTATTGTGTTACCGAAATCTCATTTGCATTGCTCAGATGATGCTAAGCTCGTACTAGATATGAACTCTAAATTTGCTACTTATTCTTTCAGTACTCTTAAGTAATTAGAAAAATTGCAGTTTACTTCTTAGCTACTATCCCAATTAAGTCTAGCCTCCCAATTAAGTCCTGCCCCTAATCTGCTTTTAACGTTACCGTATGCGTTCGCAGGCTGTGTGGTGATGACAGCAAACCTAGAATACCACCAATAGCTCAAAAGTGACGTAAAAGGCGTATAATTGATGTCCCTGAGAATGAGTAACAGCATTCACTTAGCGTTTTTACATTAGGTGGCCCGCAAAAACATATAAAGCTTAAAGAAAAACAAAAAAACAAAACTCATCTATACTATTAATATTATAAAGTTAAAGAGTTTGTTTGTTTGGTTGAACACACTAATCTTAGGAACTACTGGTCCGATTTGAAAAGTTATTTCAGTGTTAGGTAGCCCATTTATTGAGGGAGGCTATAGGCTATAGATTTTCCCGCTAAGACCATTACTAGCGGAACACTAATAAATAATATTTCGAAATCAGGGTTTTTTTCCCTTTTGAGAGTTTCTGCTGCGTGCGCTGCGGAAACGGTTATAGTTTCGCTAAAATAATGTATGAAAGAATTGCACCCTTTAAAAGTTCCAAAAAAGGCAGCGACAGCATATGTCTATAAGGTTAAGGTTGACTGACGATAACTTTTCTAAGCTAACCAAATTTGTTCTAAAATAAAGCATTATTTGTGAAGGTGTTTTTAAAAATATTATATTAATCCTTATCCAAATAAAATATACATTATTCTTTACAAGTATTTAAAAAAAATTTGCCCTTCACATCATTTGATTTCAATGAATATCTTAGAAGATATCGCAGTTTGACCTTCTACGTAAATGAAGTCGCGGGTAAAACTAAGCGTTATCCCAAAGTAACTATTCCACGCGGACGAAGTAGCGTGCAAAGGCTAGTTGAAATATAAAAGTGAACTAACAATTTATTACACATTTTAATTTTAATAAATTTTCAACCATTATGGATCTGCCGAAAACGGGATTGAATAACTTGAAGGGGTTTCAAGTTGGTGCCGGCCGCGCGAGCGAACACTACGCTTATATAAATCATGACGGGGCGCATGCAAGTTTTGTAGAGTGTCACCTTATTTCGGAGAGACAATTAACTTCGCTTCCGAATGTTGCTGTTCAACCTGTATATATGCAAGCTTGTCTTGAAAATGTCGTAAGCGAGATTCAGGCATCTGTCAAATATCTTGCGTTGTATGATGGCTACCGCCACACCTCGCATCAAGAGTTAACTCTACGCCATTTTTTCTTTGTCGAGCAGCGTGAGCTGTGATCTCGAGAATAGTGCGGATCTGGTTAGTATGTATATAAACATAATAGAAGTTCAACGGCCGTCTGGTGTAGTGGTAAGTGACATGGTCACTACACAAGGGGGTCGCGGGTTCGAATCCCGCCATGGGAAGATATTTGTATGATAAATATAAATGTCTTTTCCAGGGTTATGGATGTATATTAAATATATGTATGTGTATAATAAAAATCTTTCATTTATATCCGTTATCTGGTACCTGTAACACAAGTTCTTTACGAACTTATCACGGGACCAGTTAACGTGGCGTGATTGTTAGTAAATATTTATTTATTATTTATTTATTTAATTGTAAACGTCAAATTGTTGATTTAATTACCAAGATAAATGTCGCCTATTAACCAAAATGTCGATTGCTATGTAGGTTACTGGTGACCTACGTGGCGCACTGAAGTAATGATTAGAAGGTAACCTAATGCACCTAAATATAATAATAATAATAAATTCATAAATTTTGCGGGCTTGGTTGGTATCACATGACATCGAAAGTAATCTACAGGTGTGTGCCTATCCACAAATAAAAAGGGTTCGTTTACACAGGTATGGTTGCTCACTAAAGTAGAACTTGATTGCGATTTAATTATAAAAAATACCTATGGCACTATCAAGCTGACAACATCTAGTTTGACAGAGTTAGTAAATGCTTGGGCTTTATGGTGCATTGGCAAATAGCCAGCGACGGCTTTCGGCCTGATAGTCTAAATACTCTTTTTGTTGCTGCTACTGTATGGTAGATTTGTTCAAATAAGCTCTTAGTTCATAATAAACCAAAGGTAATGGTAGTTTTTAATCTTAATTCTAAAATCTATATGGAGAATGTGGATGCTGCAATCAAATGTTGATCGTATTTCATATCTAAATGCTAAAATCGTTCATCAAACTTGGTCGGGAAATCCGTAAAGAGGAAAATGTGAAACGAGCGACAAGTTAAATTTGAAAAAGTTTGAATGGACACATTCGATACACAATGTATTGAATAGAAAATCGTATAATTTATGCCAATAAAATCGGGAACAGAAATAGGAATCTGTTCCAAATAGCGGTAAATGTGATTAATTATAGTTGGACGGTCGTTACTTCGAAGTATTGAAACCAAAATTCAAAGCGGCCCTAGTTAGATTTTATCAAATTCGACCAGTGTGAGTGCTTAGTGCGAGCTTTTTAACGTTCTCGATAGCGTAAAAGTTAACTCAAATTTGTATGGAGTTGGAACTTTTGCCGCTAGGGGCGCTGTTCAGGAAGGTTAAAAAGCTCGCACTAAACACACAGCTGTTCATCATCGTTACAAACACAAACAGTTCCAAACAAAAACGGGAATGTTTTACTTTAATTGAGTCGTATGTAATTTTTTTTATATCAATATTACATACCTTTTTTGTACTGTTTTGAAGGAATTAGTAAATAAACAAAATGTGCTAAAAAGTAATCGGTAACACAATTTAGTTATAATATTGCAAAAGATTCCATTCCAATCTATCATCGTCATCATCATCATCAGCCTGCGGCAGTCCACTGCTGGACATAGTCCTCCCCCAAAACTCGCCACTGAACCCGATCTTCGGTTCTACGCATCCAGTTACTGCCAGCTGCCTTGCGCAGGTCGTCGCTCCATCTAGCAGGAGGGCGTCCTACACTACGTTTGCTGGTTCGCGGTCTCTACTCCAGAACACGTCTACCCCAACGGTTATCGGTTCTGTGACATACGTGACCAGCCCACTGCCACTTCAGCTTACTAACTCTGCGAGCTATATCGATCACTTTGGTTTTTGCCCGAATGACCTCATTGCGTATTCGGTCTCGCAATGATAAACCAAGCATAGCTCGCTCCATAGCTCGCTGAGTATCTTTTAGTTGGTGGACTAGCGCACAGTCAGTGTCCACGTTTCGGCTCCATAGGTAAGCACGGGTAGGACGCACTGAGTATAGACCTTTGTCTTCAGACATTGTGGTATGGGCCACAACAAGACCTGACGAAGCTTACCGAACACTGCCCAGCCCAACTAAATCCTTCTGGTCACTTTCTTCTCAAAGTTGTTTCTACCTAGTTGTAGGGTCTGCCCCAGGTAGACATACTCTTGAACAACTTCGAAAGGTGTACCATCAATTCATTCCATTCTATAGATTACTTAAATTTTTATTTTAGGTCGTTGCTTCATGTTGTATAATATAATATGTGACGTTATAAAAAAATATCGCTAAAAGATTAGGAAGCGAAAAATTATAGCATAAGCCACTGAATAAAATAAAGTATTTAATCGGTAAATAAGTAGTCTCGTCAGCATCTCTGTGGTTCGTGATCACCTCCGCCACCGAGAATTGTCGAGTGGTGAGGAGGTCGGCTGCCCATAGTATACGAAAAAAACGGGCCAAAAAATGGTGTTAAGTAGTTACTGGAGCCCATAGACATCATGAGCCATCGTGAGCCATGATCCAGACTACGCGCAGACTTCCAAGCGTGTTGGCAGGATTCCCACTTGGAGGTGCGGCTAGGAGAATAGCCGCCTGTACGGGGCACCGCGCCCATGCGGTGCGGGCTCCGGAGTAAGCGCTCCGGAATTCCCTCACCTTAATTGCCATTGCATCACAGGGCACACTTTCCCTGTGATGCAATGGCGGCGGCCACTTCGTCCTGGGTCGCGACTTGACTTCCACCATTTTGACGGGGCATTCGATGTGCACTATCTCTGGGTCTGGCAAGATCTCCCGGAGCCGCGCCACCAGTCTGTCCGCGGCTACGCCAGATTGGGCGCCAGGACATTCCAGTAGCCGGGCTGCGTTAGCGGTGTGCCGAACCTTGAGCCCGCCCTCCACGCTTACGGCGTCGACATCAAGGGCCCCGCGTGCTCGGTTCATTACCTCCATATAAGTGATGCCATTTTCCTTTGCGGCCAGCATTTACTCCAAGACTACTGCCGCTGACCACGGAGGGCGCGGTTTGCCGTTTCGACGCCTCTTGTTCTTTCCTTGAGCTGCCGCTCGACCCTCTTGATGGGGAGCAGCAGCCACTGAGGGGGGCTGGGGGCGTGTCGCAGCCGGCACCCTTTTTTTATTCTTATGGCCCCGCTTCACCACCTCAGTCCGGGCCACACCCATACTGGATAGAGCTGAATGCAGCGGGTGGGGCTGGGGTGGCGGTACCGGCTTAGCAGCATTCACACACCCCTTTTTTTTCATGCGGCTCCTACCGGGCCTCACCTTAACAGCCTGGCGCGTGTTAGCGGCCGTAGGCTGTGGTCTTGCGGGCTGGACAGGTGTTTGCCGGCCAGCGGGTCCATATACAGTGGCCCTTAATATTTGGGCCCTTTTAAGCTCAATGGGCTTTATTTTGGTGACAGTGACAGCCTGGACCTTAGCGAGCCCAGCGAACTGGGGCTTCGCCTGGGTCGCGGCTTTTCGCTCATGGGCGAGCGGCGGCCTTGCACGCTCCACGGGTGAGCATGCTGGTCTCAAATTAGGCGCAGCAACTCCATTCTTGCTATTAAAAATCTTGTCAGCTCATACCATGGACTTCGAAGGCTAATTACATAGGCGCACCCTCGACAGAGGGATGACATTTCGTCCCGACATTAGGACAGTTCGCGACCAAGACACGTTCCTATACTACGATGAGTTCGACGTACGAACTACTAGTCCATAGCCACAACTTACAATTTTCTCGCCAAATCTTCTGGGTGGGTCGCGATTCTAATCCGGTAGTAGACTCAGCAGAGTGCTGCTCTTCCTGGGCCAGGGTTAGCAATATCTCAGGTTAAGCCTTTGAGCTTACCTGCCGTTCCACGCGTAGATGTTATTGTAATAGGCCACCCACTACAAATAATAAAACTTTATTCTTTTCACCCACGATTATTTAGAGAAAAATATATTAATTATTGAATAAAATCTCTAGTATTTGTTGTTGCACTAAATCGCCGGGAACCTTACTTACTAAGCATATAATATTTGATTCGATTTATTTGCCTAGAGAAGTAATAAAAAGATAAAATACAACAATTCAAAAATATACTTTCTATTTCCGTGGTTAAAATTCGATTTCCTTTACACATGGAAGCTTCCAAGTAAAGAGGTCTTTGGTTGAATTTTTTCGATACTTTAGAGAGAAAAACATTTCTCCAGTTCGCTCCATAATGCCCTTCGATCGAATTTCATAAGATATTCTTGAAATATTCATTATATTTTCTGTGTTTACAATAGTATGTATTACTAAATTGTTTTCTTTTAGTATTGCTCAATTCGTCGCACAGTCCCACCTGCGTTATAATTGGAACAAATAAAAATAAATGTACATATTATATTTGAATGACTTCGTGTCTTAAACTGAACTTATATCTGTAACTGATATCACCGAACTTAATAAGAGTGCTCCAATTTTAAAGTCGGTGTCTTTTGAAGCATTACGAACAAAGAATTTCATCGTACTTTTTTTATGAAGCTCGAACGCTTGATGACATTTAGGTTTAGTTTGACTCCAAATCACTTCTTTGCTGATCAAACCACAGAAAAAACGCCTTTTTAAATATTTTAAAGTTATCTATTGTAGTATTTTCCATCAGACCATCAAACGGGCTGTATTCTCATTTGTCTGTATTAGCCATTAAAGAATGTAAGACACAGTTCTGCCAGTTTAACTGTAATGGTCAAAGCCAATAGATTCGAGGTCTATAACTTAAAATAAACTATCTTTTACTCACATTCCCTAACATTAATGCAAAATTTAAGTAAGTAAATTGGGGCACAACCGGTTATTTTTTTGGTCGCTAATATATAATGCATGGTAGGTCCCACTGTATGGTACTGATACATACAAATTCTGAGCATAAGACGCTGGGCTTCTACTAGCTGAGCACGAAAAAACTATATCATCTTGAGATTTGAGATCAAAGTCTCTTATTGTGGAGAACGGATGTCGGGTGAGAGAGTATAAGGAGAGTCGTTTGGTAAGTAGGACCCTAAAAATATTTAGTTTGCGTGCCCCTTAGACACGGACTCTCGTATGAGGATCGGTACCCTGTCTGAAGAAAAAAACCGATGGTAGGATTTTTTTTTTATTGCTTAGATGGATGGACGAGCTCACAGCCCACCTGGTGTTAAGTGGTTATTGGAGCCCATAGACATCTACAACGTAAATGCGCCACCCACCTCGAGATATAAGTTCTAAAGTCTCCTTTCATTTCCTCTTGATTTGTATTTTCTGATGAACCATGAGCATTGCTTCTATTATATTAAATTAGTGCAATATAGCGTCACCTACTGCGCTCATCAATAATATTATAAAGATAAGCTATCATACCATACAAGTGACGCGCATTAATAGGCATTCAATCGCAGCGATTGTTTATCACGTAATATACGGGCAGATGTGTCCGGCCCCTAACGCTGTCGGGCAATCCAATTACTGGATTAGCCACCGCTAAAGTGGGGTGAAGTGAGGCGTCACACTGGCCTCTTACATTTTACCTGTGCTCTCTAATGTTTATTGCGCGGGATTTTGACTGGGCAACGTGTGAAAAAAAAAACCATGAACTCAGATTAACTATTCCGAATGCTTTCGCAATATAAATTTTGTAGAGAAGTCTTTAAATTGTAGTTTAGCGTTCGGTTGTGTAGTGTGAGGTTTTTTTTGGTTTTTTTTTTTTTTCGTACACTACTAGATCGAAATCGCGACTCTCGGAGAAGATCCGACAAGAGACTCAGCGGGTTGATACATATAGACTCATAAAAACTGTCGTTTTATTGTTTTTAGGTTAGAGTCCACCGTTAATGTCATATAGGCAGGCTTTTTGCATTTTTTACGATAAAACAAAATAGAATATTTTAATTGTGTAAATCAAAATACTTTGTGTGTCTTGTTTTCCCGGCCGCCACGATTTTTATTTAATTTTGATGGTTTTCGATATCGTTAGGCTAGTTTAAGACGTTTTAAATATCAAAAGGATCGCAATTAACCCAATATTGTAATCACCCCATCACGCCCATATTTTGTCATGGATGTTGCGAAATACGAATCGACTTTTCATAGAAAATGCGCAACAGTGGTATACGATTAGGCCCTAGGTACCTACCACTACCGTCATAGCTAAGAAGGCCTGCAATAGCAGTGTAATTCATAATAATATATACCAATGAGAGCATTACTTACTGTAGTTTCTTTTTGTTTTTTTACTGGAGCCCATAGATATCTACAACGTAAATGCGCCACCCACCTTGAGATATAAGTTCTGAGGTCTCAGTATAGTTACAACGGCTGCCCCGCCCTTCAAACCGAAACGCATTAACTGTTTCACGGCAAAAACAGTCAGGGTGGTGGTACCTACACGTGCGGACTCACAAGAGGTCCTACCACCAGTAATTACGCAAATTATAATTTTGCGGGTTTGATTGTTATTACACGATGTTATTCCTTCACCGTGGAAATCAATCGTGAACATTTGTTAAATACGTATTTCATTAGAAAAATTTGGTACCCGCCTGCGGGATTCGAACACCGTTGCATTGTTAGATACGAATGCACCGGACGTCTTATCCTTTAGGCCACGACGACTTCAAACCACGGCGGCATTTACGTTGTAGATGTCCACATTCACATCAAAGCAATAAAAAAATTAAAAAAATTGAAATTAGACCCTCAGACCGATAGCCAGTATCAATTTGCACAACGACACCGCCATTTATATAGCACCATTTTATTGCAATATCGACTTCATATTACTTAATGCAAAAAACCCGGGAACCACGAGCAAATAACAATAAAATAATAAAATACTATTAGCGGTACCTTCTAAAGAAGTCATATAATTGTATCTACTGTTACCAAGGCCGCATAGAATTCAGTTTTGAGCTGATGTTAGATCGAAGAAACCATGACCTTGATAGCGTGGTAGGGACTGTTGGTTACGTCAAAAATATTATAACTGTTATTCATGGTGGCTGTCTCGCGATATTTTTTATAGCACCCTCGTATTCAAAGTTTTACGTATATGACGTTTGAAAATGGTCTTTAATCTGCTTTACCTTCTTCTATGTGTTCCTATACAGCACTGATTTGGAGTGACAAATGAAAAACACCTTCGATTTTGAGGTTAGAAAATCTTGGCTACTAGTATGTCAGCTATTAGCTGCTTTAACATTAGTAGAACTGTAACAGTTGTTATAACATATATATGAACATATATAACATATACATATAGGTATATAACGTACATACATAAATTATAAGAATTTTCGTCTCAATAAATAGACGACTCGTGGCTAATTTGGAGTTAACCAGGCAATTACAAGACCTCATAGGTAGAGATAAGATTAGTGTTTCAAATCAAACCTTACGCATGACTGCTTCGCAACAGAAATAGGATGCCACTACTAGTTTTAAATTATTCATGTTCTGTTATATTTTATTTTTCTTTACAGTACATCGTTTTATTTTTAACTTGCTTGCAGAGCTCGGCAGCATGCTGTTACGCCGGTAAGAGTAACGTCATCTATCGCCGAATAGCAGAAACGAATATCAAAGGAACTAGTAACATCAAGAACGCTCGAGAAGTACAATGCCATCTATTGTCAGAATTAATGTTATTATTGGCCACAATGTTCCCGATAAATCTAGGGATGTCGTATCGACTATAAACACGTTGCAGAGATGGCACGAAGTCAGTTAGTAAACAGATCTACTCGAAGCAAAACAGCGAACCGATCACCTAAAGCGAAGCGGAAGAAGTGAATTGAGAATTTTAAATTGTTCGTTAGGTGTTCGAAGTGTTATTACAGTCTTAATTTGTACTTCGGTAGAATTTTTTATTAATCCCAAACCCCAGCGCGTAACAATACCTTCAGTTTATGAGAATATCCATCTACCCAACACTTTAAGCGTGTGCTATTCAGCTGAGATTGTTTGACTTTGT